GTACTTTTGATAAGAGAAAAAGAACCTGTTGCAAAAAAATAATCAAGCAACGTTGAGTATTAGATGCAATTTTCATCATGGTAACTAATTGAAAACAAGCAATGCAGGAGCCAACAAACTTAAAATATCCAAATCAAGTGTTGAAAATAATTTGCACCAGCCTGGTTTTATTAGTCAATTTGATGTGTAGCTTCCACATGTGGTAAACAAAGTAAATTTTGACATGTGATGAAAAGTAGATACTTTGCAACAACATGGAGGTACCTCTACTTTTTCACTGAAAAACAGCATAGCATGATGAAAAAGACGCCAAATCTTAATAAAAACAAAGTTTTATCATCAAAATGTTTGTTATTATTAAGAGGAAAGACCAAAGTATTTTTATTATTTTATTAAATTTTTTGATCAAAATTTTGATTAAAAATCTGTTTTTTTTTCACTTCAGTGGTTGATGTAATTGTGATTAGTGTTTATGCGCTTTTTTCTGGTGAAAAACACATTGATTGGAAATTCTTGCAAAAATTAAATAATTGTCGGATTTTAATGAAACTTTCAGGACTTATTCACAAATGAATGACATTATTTTTTAAATTGTTTTTTTTAGAAAGTATTGGTAAAAAATATTTTATTTTTACATATGTTACTCCCACCCCCACTTAATTTCATGAAATTAAATTTTCTTTCCAAAAAAATTCTTCTTAGTTAAAAGTAGGACTACTTGAAGAATGTGAATCATCCATTTTTTTCAAACTGTACACCCAGCAACTGAAAATCTGCTCTGAATCGTAAACTAAAAATGAAATAAAACTATGACATTATTTAATTAGAAAAGCTTTTAATTGCTTTTATAAATAGGATATATTAAGAGCCCTATTTTCTTAAGAAAAAAATTTTTTCGATGAATAATGGACTTTTACAGGAATTGTTTTTAATTTTTAAAAATTTTAATTATAATAATTTATAATAATTTAAAAATCGTTTAAAATTCTGAATTTTTTTCTTCCTTTTAAGTGATATTGTAATTAAGTGGAAACTATGTTTACGAGTCAAAAATTGAAAAGCGTAATAAAAGTCGTTTACCCTCAATATTTTAAAAATAATTCTAATCTATTTTTTAGTTTAAACATTACTATTTTTCTATGGTAGATAATATCATGTATATCACTGACGTATGACATTATTATTAAAAGGTCAAGTGTTGTAAGAGTTGTCCTCCCTTTACTGAGAAATTCGCTTCTCTGCATGCAATTCGTTAATACTAAACAGTAACATTGTCCCTTCAAAATCTTAAAACTTTTAAGTTTAAAGCAAGTTTTACTTTTTCTTTCATTTCTATTTCACTAAATATTTTTATTTCATGTATTTATTTTAGTGGGTGGTAATTCAATTGAGTAATTTTTTTTATTTTAACTTTGTTTAAGAAGAAAAAATAAAATGTTTTTTTGTTTAGTACTTTTTATTTTTTTCAGGTTATTCTTTTTTTGTGTAAGTTATTTTGATAAAAAAAAAACCGTTTGAAAGACTTTTATTTCATTTTAAACCTAATGTTTAATGAATTTTATTATTTTTATACTTTATTTCATTCACATAATTAGTTTTCTCATTTAATTAATTATGAGTAGTTTTCCAACACCAAGTGTTTACAAGTTTTGTATTGAAGAAAAGAAAATAGAGAAAAAATTTTTTTTTTAGCTATTGTTTAGTAAAGTTTATTAACTATTAAAGATTAAATGATATTTTAATTATTACAAAAAAATTTCCAGATCAATGTGTTAATTTTCTTGCTTACTTCTCTTTATTTTAATTTTTTAACTTTTAGATGGGGAGAACTTATGAAATATTGAAGACTACAGCTGCATCAACAGTTGACAGCCGATTCTCTGTGGCCATATTTTTGAGAAATTTCTCAAGAAATATGGACCATTGAATAAAATAGCAGAATGGGCCTCCCTGGAGAATGCCAAAAATGGTTTCCAACCAGTTTTATATAATTCAGTTGTAAAACTTTGGGCATTCTACAGAAAAAGAAATGTGAGAAGAAATTTATCAGAATTTGAAAAAAAAGTGGTGGCCTGTTCTGTTGATAGATCTTCTATTGCTTATTTGACCACTAACCCAGTTGCAACTACAATCCTGTCTGCTGAAAATACAACTCTGTTTGCTGCAAGTGCAGACCTTTCTGATGCAACTCACTCTTCTGCAGCTGCAACCTTTTCTGCAATTTTCAACCCTGTCTACAACTTCAACACTGTTCATCTGCCACTCCTTTGTCAAGATTTAATCAATTGATACAAAAAAAAACAATTGGCAAAAAAAAAATAAAAGGAACTGATATTAATGCAAAAAAAAAATTAAATAAATACTAAAGAAAAATCAGCAAAATAGTTACAATCTTTTCATTAGTAGGAAACTTCATTATGACTGTCTTTTAGAGGATGTTCCTGTTTCTCGTGTTTTAGGAATGATAAAATCTATTTCAAAAACATTGTCCATGGAACACTGCTCTTTGAACAGATGTTTAACAACAGTTTACAGAATGTGAGTGAGCTTGGCTTCCTTTCAGATGTGAAGATGTTTGATGCAGTGCAAAATGCAGAAAACTGCACTTTAGTTTTTGATTGAATGACACAAGATGGAAACCACTTGAACTGTGTGGTATTAACCTCATCATCCTCTCATCCTGTGTCACTGGAACGTCTTCCTGGAGGGGTTGTGATGGATTACAAGCAGCATATTTCTGACTGCATCAAAAACTTAGCTAAAGTAGGCTCACAGTCTACTGGTATAAGTGCTAATGCCAATTTAAAACCCATAATTTCGAAAATCAAATTCTGCTTAACAAACCAGGTTCCCATTAAATATTCAGCAGTTTTGTTATTTGAAAAAGAGTGACAGATTAAACTTATGGAGTTATACTGCAATTTGCATCCATTAGAAACAATTGCAACAAAGATGAGGAAGGTCCTGAGTGATTGCGAGATCTGCATTATAGGAGCTACAAATGTGAGTGAGTGCCTAGCATGGTGAATTCTTGTAGCCATGAATTCTCTTAGATATAGTGATAAAATAGGCCTTATTAAGAAAATGAAGTCCTTTATTTAACGTCTTCCATAGTCCCAAATCAGTAGATTCTAAGGGAATCAGTTGCATGTAATTTTTTATCTAAGTGCAACTCACTTTCCCATTTTTGTACAATGCAAACAATTTGTCTTTGAACTTTCCTCCACAAATAAAATCATCGCAACATTGCAGCAGATATTTACAGAAGAAGCTGCTTTTGTCGAGATGCAAGTGCTGGGAATTATAGGGAAGATTCTATCAGGGCCTTGGATGACTACCTTCCATACCAGTGAAAATACCCAAAAAGATCCCATCGACACAATGAACATTGTCAAGGGGGTCATTGACAATCTGATGGTACTCACTGAGGACCCTATGTCTATTTCCATCTCCAAGGAGTTCTTTGGAAATCCATTACCAAAGAAAGTGATAGAGCCCCTACTAATTGTCCCCACAAATGATAACTACTTGTTTAAAAAAAGGGGATTGTGGAAGTTTTAAGCAGGCATTCATTTACCATGATAGAGGCTTCTTCCAAGTCCCTATTAACATCAGTAAAAGCAGCACACCATGCTAGCTGAAAGCATCATCGGTGAATTTTGTGAAAGATAGAAGCTTGTGTTTAATGCTTATGTATCCAGCATAAGCGATGTCATCAAGGCCAAGTGGAGTCAAGTAAGGAAATTCACTGATGATCTGGATGTTGAGCAGAAATTATCTACAGTTGGCACTGATGTACAGCAGAGTGAAGCTGGGCTGAAGAAGATGCAGCACCAAGAGTTTGAAGGAGAAATTGGTAGAAGATAGTAGAAAGATCAAGGCTAAGGATGCAATTAATTGATAGAATGATCATGCATAGTATTTCTTAATGTTCGACTGCTTGCTTCGGCATTGGCAAATATGGCTCAGATTACACCTTTCAGGTTATGGATTTTTTTCCCCAGATTCAATGAACAAAGTTGAAATCAAAAATAAAATAAATGACTTTTTTAGCTTTATTAGTTAACTGAATAAAAACTGTTGGCCACTCATTAGATCCGATAAGAAATGAAAAAATAAAAAAAGGAAAAAACAATTTCATTTAGTCGATTTGACTGTAATCATTCAATAGTCAACAAAATCTTTATTGTAGTGTTAATTTGTATTTACTCAACCCCCAACGAGGTCAGGTTGTGACACAAGATCAGTTTAATGTGGGGTGCCCGAGCATGTACACCCAGGCAAGGAACAATAATTGCCCGCAGACCCCGCAACTGTCGGTTGCACTGGCTTTGGTGCAAGCACTGATCCCTCTCTCTCTCTGGTGCAATGAGAGGGCGCGACCTCAGACAGCTGTTCCTCAGGGCTGGGCACCTCTCAGTATAATTTTCCTCAGTCGTAGTGTTAATTTAGTTGAGGAAATTGCATAACTTCTTTTTCTCTGTCTTCAATTATTTCTTATTTAATCATAATTTAGTTTTTAGTGTAAAAAATGTTTAAACGAATACTACTTTTAGTTGACTGAGTTTTCTTTCAAAAACGAAAAATTATATTTTTTAATTTTGATAATTTTAAAATAAATATATAAGTTTTTTTTTTTAAATAAACCTTTTTTAAACAATGAACACAATTGTAAATTTTCGTATACTTCGCTTTTATTAACGTTACATTCGTAATATGAAACGGGATAAAATATTTTTAACTTTTTTTTACAGATTATTTATCTATAAATTCATGTTTCTTTGAAATTTCTGTTATTTTAAGCAAAGAAAAAAGATTTTTGTCCAACAAGAGTAAAAGCAGGGAGATGTTAAACAGTAACTTAAAAACAGCAGCAACATTCGAAAGGAGGCCATTTTTATCAGTCTAGTTTCGAAAATATAACAAATTTATCGTATGTTGATTTTGTCAATGCTAATTTTAGTTTTATACTTGTAATTTGCAGAATACTATTTTTATGAATGGAAAAAAGCACGAAGGAAAATATTACGCAGTAAGTAAAATTACAAACTAGTTAAGAGTCGCACACGTTTCCTAAATTTCACTGACTGACCTCACAACTGTCACTTTTTTGTCTAAAAGAAATTCTGGGTAAATTTATTCGTTATATTTTCAAAAGACACGATTGTATTATCTGAGATGAAAATCAGAATTGAGATAAAAAAAAGAAACTGTTTTAAAATAGACTTAATAAACAGACGAATAGATTTAATTTGCGACGTTAATTAGTGCTCATTTTTTTTTGTCCCGTGGCGTAAAGCATGCTGAAACTACTTATATCGAAATATTTCAGTACATTTTTTTTTTTTTTTTTAAATGAATCCATCTTTTTTTTTTATATAATCGTTAGAAATGTAAAACTAATTAAATAAATATGTTTAAGATCAGATTTTCTTTTTTATGCGTTTAAAACACAAAAAAAGACATGAAAGTCAAGTTTTTTTGGTCTCTTTTTATTTTTTAAGTGAAGAAAAAAAGAAATGAAAATCGATTATAAAGTTTTGTTTGAATTTATAAATAATGTTCCATACAAGTTTTGGCCAAGCAATAATTTTAATTTTCATGAAAACTCGTCTCCGAAAAAAAGTCGTTTCAGTTAAACAAAAATCGTTTTTTTTTTTAACTAAAATAAGTAATATTACGAATTCAAATTATTTAACTTTTTTTTTTCTTTACAACTCATTTACTTTTTATGCGTAATAAAAGAAAAAAAGTGATCGTATTAAGTTCCTTTATGAATGGTTAATACTATTAACCATAATATTTAAAGGAATATTTAACTTACATCTTCGATTTATTTCGAAAACCCACATACACACACACGTTTTTTTTTAAAGTTTAACCGTTCAATTGAAGTACTGTGGTCCGTGCTGAAGTGAGTCACGGAAATTTTTTACAATTTCGCAAGTCTGATAAATTTCTTCAGTATCCCTTACTTGCTTCACTATTTATTTTGCATTTTATTGAGGAATTAATTGCATGCTTTAATCTTTGCCTAATAAAATAATTTGTCTAAAGTTAATTTTTGTTTGTGTCCCATTATTACTGCGAATATCTGATGACATTTTAGCATGGACCACAATACTTGTACTCATCTTTCTTTGTTCTAATCTAAAGCTCTTCAGAAATCGTTTTTTTATTCAAAGAAAAATGATTAACTCAACATCAATCTTGACCAGAAGTGGACAACCTTTTTTCTCTCTTTAATTTTTTTTTTTTTTTTTTGAAGGTTGCATTATTAGCTGTAAGCCCAAATTCAAGAAACCTCAAAGTGGATATTTAAAAAAATTCTAAATATTATTTCTTAAAAAAATAAAATTAAAGTTAATGAACCTTTTAATCTTCTTGTGATTACTTTTTATAAGAAAGCATTTGCATAAATGGTTTGCAGTTTCATCTGATCTTGATGGATATCTGTCATTTTTTCACAAGCAAGAAGTATGAGGGAAGAAACTATTAATATAGGAATTATGGTTACATTTAGCTATTTCAATTGTAAAATGATTGCTGGGGATTTAGTATTGTGCTTAAATTCATAAAGTCTAGATACCATAGAACAGTTGCTGTGAAAATATCATCAGAACAATTGCTGTGAAAATATTTATAGAAAGGACAGGGGAAGCTATGTTAAGGTGGTGGGAAAGTAACTAAAGCCAAGATGCCAGGCCAAGAACAATAACATTGTAGATTCTTCTTTGTATTTTATCAAGAATCTCTAAATACATAGCAGAAGGACCAAACCAGATGTGGCAGCAATATTCAATGGATAGATGAATAGTAGATTTATAAAGATAAATTCTGGCTAGAAAAATTGTCTTGCATGACACAATGAACCAACTTTCCTAGCAGTAGGCCTTGCAATTGATTCAATATAATCTTTCAGTAGAAAATGTTATTAATTAGCTTTCATGCATATATAGTTAATAAGTTAGAAATGTCATATACTTCAAGTAACGCACTTTAAAATAGTCAAACATTTTCCTGTTCAATATTCACATGTATTATGTTTAATACTGAGTTCACACATTATGTATAAATAAAAAAAAAACAATATATGAAGTAGCTAGTCTGGATAAAAGTAGTGAGAGGTGTCATTAAGAAATCTTCCTGTGTCAAGTTTATTTCCTGCCATGTGAAACAAAAATTAACTGGACAAAAAAAATTTTTTTGTAAAAATCACTTTAACAATCTTGTATTTGCATTTGATCTACTTTCTTCCTTTCCATTTCTTTTTGTTGGTGGATGAGTTGAATATTTTTAAAAGACTAAATTTTCACCACTTCAAACTTTCCACAAGTCTATATAAGTTGTGTGTTCTTCAAATAATTCACATGAATTTTGATGCTCCTTAATAACCTTGGTTGACTGTTGTAATTTGATTAAAACTGAGTAATTATGGCTGTCAGTCAAGGAACATTATTTCATTGAATCTTCTTTTACTCTTATATATTTTAAAAATGTACACTTTAATATTAAATTAAAATAATAATAAGATGTACAGAAACATATTAATATAAAAGGATTTATTCTTCAAAATTTGGATTGATTCAGCTGCCTTGAATCCTGCACATTTTCCACCCTAGACAAATAGCGTGTTATAACCTGGACCACTATGATGTTACTTCAGAGACAGTATATATATATACTACATATATAAATAAGAGAGTGTGTGTGTGTGTATATATATATATATATATATATATATAAGCAAAAACATTATAGCCATGGAAATCTTTAGTCATGAAAAGCATCCATTTTTATTTCATACTTTGTCTTTTAAAACTTCAGAGCTAATTGCAAACACAAGAGATCTATCATGACACTTTAGAAGTGATCACTCAATTGTGTTGTGATCAATTGATTTGTTTTTTTTATGGATTATCAACCTTTTGCAGGTTATTTAAAGTCAGAAAATAATTCCAGATTGTAAAATCTTTTTTTGAGATAATAATTTATTGATATGAGGAGAAAAAATGGATTCATACCTTTCCCAAGAGTATTTGCATGTAAGTTAATATAACTTGACAGGAATTTGAACTTGGCTCTCTGATTGCCAATTTCAAGCTGTTATCCATTACATTATCCACACATCCAAGCACCTGATATTCCCAAGTGGTCACTCATCTATGTACTGACTATGGTCAACATTGTTTAACTTTGGTTATCATACAAGAATTAGTGTTTCATTATGATATGGCCATAAGGCTCAGTTGTGCTGTGGTGTCATTTCCAATTATGATACAATTATTAGGAAGGAAGGAAATAGGGTAGTAAATTCAAGTCTTTGAGGCTGGGTATGATAAATTATATGGTGTCTACTATGCTGTTTATTTAAACTTATCTCTTTCATTTCCTTTTTATTTGCTCAATTGTGATGCCTTACAAATGTTATTCAGTGATATAAAAAGAGATGATTCTGATATTTAAATGCAACTTTCCACTGACCCTATCAAATCACTTAAGCCTGTTTCATCCTGATACCTGGAATATTTGTTTTCAACTCCTCATTTATTTGTTTATTTTTATTCTGGTGAGGATTTTCATAACTTGGTGAATATTCTGCACTCCAAGGTTTTTACAGATTGCTAGCTAATTAGGGTGAAGAGAGTTTGAGAGTATCCTAAAACCTCTTTCACATCACTTAAGACTGAATGTTTTGTGATGTTTTCTTTAAAGTGTCATCCAAATTTCAAGTATATGATATATTTGCAACAACTTCTTTCCCTCATTATTAATCTAAAGAAGTTCTTTCTAGAGATGAAACACATTATTTAGGATTTTTTTTCATTTTGCCATTTGATTACCCATTTCTCCATATATATATATATATATATATATATATATATATATATATATATATATATATATAAAATTTGTAATTTTAAATGGCTTTTTATTTATCCAACAAAATTTCTTATTACTATAAATGTTATTTTTAGTGGGTGAATGTGTTTGAGTTGACATCATGCTTTTTACTTTATAAATGGTGACATTAATGTCAACTGGCCTAGATCAAGAAGTCCTACTAAAGTGTATGTATGTATGTATGCATGCATATATATATATATATATATATATAATATATACTACCCAGCATTTTAATAGTATTTTCTGGTTGTTTGATTAAACAAATAATGCACATGGTAGCAGTTCCTTTAGAAAATAATATCCACAAACCCTGTGAATAAAATTGTAAAAAAATTATATGTAATGTGAAAGAAATGGCTTCACAGCTACTTCAACTGAAAAGTATTTGAGGCTCTTAGGAATTAAAAAACAAAAGGAAATGTATTGCAGCATCTTGTTGGCTATGACAATCCTATTTTAAGCCACTGTGAGTGAAAGTTAATTAAAATAAAAGTCTGGTAGAATTTTGGGATACTGCTTGGACACTGTGTATGAATGGTAATGTTTCACCCCTTAATCATCAGATTAGAAAACATTCTACAGATAAAGTTCATTAAAATGTATAAAATGTATATAAGCACCAAACCTGTTAATAAAGTCCACTTACATAACTACTGAATACAGTAATGGAGGTGCTAATAAAAGTATTTCCAGTTTGCATTTCCTTATAACAGGCATTAGTATATCCATGATATAGTAATACCTTAATACACAACCAGAATAGCTGAAAGAAAGGAATGACAAAAATGCATTGTTGTCAAAGAGATTTTTTATACTGATCTCTACATTTTTTTCACTAATTTGTAGCACACAGAAAAACTAAATGTATGTATACAACAAGCTGCGTGAAAGAGGTCAAAAAGATAGTTCTTGTAATATTTCCTTGATGGGGAAAATGGGTAGGCTGGTGGTGTCCTCTATGCATCTTGTGAGACCATGTGATTTCTTCTGCTCTTTTAATTGTTATGGGCAGTCATGTGTTGTTTCTCTGCTTGTTCTATAGCAATTGGCATGGACAGAAATCTCTTACCTCTAGGCATACTAAATAGCAACTGACATTTGTCATTATAAACTGACATCACTCACCAGCCATCACATGACATTCATGAATTCATCTTACCCAAAGAGAGATGATCACTCTTTGCATCCCTACAATAGTGTGAAATCTTATTGCCAGAGACATGTAATAGCAAAATTTATAATGATCTGAACAAGACCTTATGATCTTTAAATAAAATAAATCATTACCTTGTCAAATATCCTAAGTACATAATAGATTAGTAATTTTCTTCTTAATTGTCACACATTTTGCTGATAGCAAGGTGGAAAAGCTCTGTTATTGCTAACATCATTTTTTTTAATTTGGTTTAATGATTGTTATTGAATATGCTCTCATCTTAGACTTTTATGCTGAGCTCACATTATATTATGAATATTGTTAATCACTTGTTTAAAATGTTCCATTAATTATGACTTGTTTGTTTCCAAAATTTTTAACCTTTTCTTTATAGAAATAATTTGCAAGAGCCAAATGCTTTCACAATTGTATCAGTGGAGCCAGGTGCATACCAAGAAAACCAAATTGCTTGGACCACCACCGATATGGCCTCATCTGCTAGTCTCACTTTGCAAACAGTCTCTGGCTTGGAGCAGTATCAGCTTCCCCAACGTGTTGTAATTGAAACATTGATTCCTTTCAATCAGGACAATGCAGACAGCAGTCTCCCAGAGTTAGTTGACAACAAAACTATTGAAACTGATGGGAATGCCATTGATCCAGCAAGTGGGGAAGATGCTTCCATTAAGTCATTTGATGAAAAATTGGATGCAGCAGAACTCAACAAAGAGGAGGTAATTTCACTTTGTTTTATTACTCATTTCATTTTTTTTAAGTTGAATTTTAATTTTGTTGACATCATTTCATTCTAATAATTTCTCAAACACCCAAAGTAGATTGGTAAGTAACATGATGGAATACTGATTGTTTTTTATGATTTATCAACCCTTTGTAGGTTATTTAAAGCCAAAACATTTTTGGAGTGTAAGAATAATCTAATCCTTTGTTTTATTTTTTTTTTTTGTGAATGAATATTCCATTAATAATTTTTTGGGAGATGATAATGATTTTTCCAGATACAAGTCCTACTATTTAACTCATAGCTAGGAGAGAAGAGATGGATTAATTCTTAATGTGAATGTAATGAATCTGATTTGAATTTGAACTCGGCTCTCCAATTTCTTATTCTGAGCCACATGATGGAAGAACATATTTATATAAATAGATTGGCACATATCTAATAGGCTAACATTAGTAGGTGTTTACATATGAAAAAGATAAAATTGTCTGGACCACCATAGATGTAGCCACATCAGCTAGATGAAGATATTAGAATGATAATTCTGAAAAAATTCTGACAAATTTCAGTATACAATTTACTGCAAAAGTTTAAAGTCATAATCAAAGCTGAGTAATATATATGTAAAAACCATAACTACAGGAGTTGTTGCCTATTGTTTTATATTCATGTGGTGGAAACTGTAAAAATGACTAACAGAACTGAAAAACCAAGAACTTACCAATCAGCTTCAAAAGAGTCACTGATTAGGCTCTGCATGGTTTGGTAAATGCAAAAAATATTCTCCTGGGAAGAAAGCACTGTTTTTATTTCAAGTGTATACTTGAATAATCGTAGTATTCTTCAGTTTAATAAGAACACTAACCTGAGAGAAGTGATTTCAGTTCATATGTGGTGAGAGTGTAAGTTTTGCAATGGTATATATGAAACTTACAGTGAGAACAGCTGTCAATGTTGTTTTTTTTCCAACAACAATTCATAGGGAGCTAGAATAAAAAAAGCATTGTTCAGTATCTGAAATTAATGTATATAGGTTCAAAACAAATTTTACATCTAATTTTTTAAACAAAAATAAATTTTTTTTAAATTACAAAACTGTAGGATTAAATTGAAAAAAAAGTTCAACATATCACATGAATCGTAAATAGCCTGCCTTGTGGCTAATATAGTTAAGTTTTCCTCGTTTGGAAGATTAACACAGCATGATCTTCTACACCCAGTTTCCTTTATTTTATTTATCTTTGTGCTATACTAATTCAAATTTAATAAATATATATAATATAGTGTAAATATTTTAATAAGTAAATTTGAAGAATTTGACATAAACAATATTTTTAATGTATATCTGAATTGAAATTAGATTGCCAGTCTTAGAGAACTTATACTTTTTAAAAAATATATGATCAATCATCAAATTGCACTGGTTGTTTCTTATGGTTGTAAGAATTAACTTTTAAAGAAAATTTTCATGCTTTAGAATCCTGAAATATTCTCAGTACTGGCTGTGAGCATTTGAAAAAGTGCATTACAAATATACTTAGAAACCTTTTTTCTTTTTAATTTCTTACATAAAACTATAATGGAATTTTTTTAACAGATTTGAATAAATGAATGTGAGGGAAATGTTATAAAAGCATGTGTGTATTGTATTATGGTCACTGAAGACTGTCTTGCCAGTTGAAAGTAAATAGATTTCAATGAATACATTATTAAGTCTCTTTTCAGTTTTATGGTCTAAGCATGAGCCATCAATAAAACAAAGTTCATTCTGCAAATTATATAAAAATTGCAATTTTGTTAAGCAAACCTGCCAGACTTCTATCCATATGAAATAAAGCTTTGTTTTTTTCACTATTTTGATGTGCTATTTTGCAAACACATTCTGACTTTTTAGAAATGTATAAAATATTTTTTTAATTTTTAAATTCAAATATTAAAAATGCAAATTAAAATTTAAATATAATTTTTCATATCATTAATGTATCTTATTGATGTTTTAAAAATGTTAATTTCTTATTCTTTAATAAAATTTAATAAAAGTCAATTTTTTTAATTTAGAGTAATGTTTTCTTAGCCATAATGAGTTTTTAGCTGATTAACTACTGTTCCTATGATTATATACAACAATTTATCTAGAAATTTAAACATTTCTTTCTCTATTTTTAAAGGTATTTTCTGACCTCACAGGAATGTTGTCAGCATCAGTTATTGATGCAATTCCAGAAAATAATCCAACATTTCTTGACAATCTCCAAACAAATTATAATGTAGCTGTAAATATGACAACAAATGGGGCAAGTGTGTCTGGCTCTTTCTCCGCACTTACACATCTGGAAAAAGCTCTTCGTCATCTGTTGTTTTCAAGTTATCCTCTCAACCAAAGCAAAAAACAGTTTCAGAAAATACACAAAGAAACATTAGCTAGACCCCAAATGGCTGACAAGGGAATTACATGCAACCTTTTACTCCCTCAAGTATCTTTTCATGGTAGAGAAGTTCGTCGGCATCCACGTTATGCAAATTATTTGAGCCCTTTCTATTCTGTATTTGAGGATGAGCAAGGAGAGCCAACTCGCAAAAAGAGACGTGTGGGTAGACCTCGAAAAAAGGTCCCAATGAAAAACAATGAAAAAGACAAAAATACTTGCAAAAGTGAAATTGCTGCAAGGGATTTAGAAAACCCAACTGATATTGATACCTTGACAGATCTTCCAATGGATTCTTCACTCATTTCTGAACAAAAGTTAGAGAAATTTAATTCAGATTTTTCTACAGATCAACAAAGAGAGGACAACCAAAATAATGAAGAGAAAGGTAATTATTTTAAAATTTTCTGGGTTCTAAAGACAACATGGATGTTTCTTATATCTCATCTGTAAGTGGTAAGGATAATCCAAATAGGTCTTTTTAATATAAAGTATTAAAATGATAAATCCCTGAAGAGAGCTCAATGTATCAAAATACAGAGCAGTATGATATACATCAAAGGAAAAGCTCAATACATCATTAAAGAGTTCAGTAATAATTAATTTCAGACAAACAAGTGCCTCATCAGACCAGAGTTATAAAATGGTTTAAATCATCCAAACAATTTATTAAAAATTACAAGAGGAAATGAATAAAAGATTTGACCTAGAAAAATCCTTGAAGAGATAAGAGAAAGGTGGGAATGAAAAACAACAAGCAGGGCTGGTAGAGGGAATACAAAGTTAAAACCAATGAAATATATTGAAAATAAATCATCATCTAATCTGAAAAAGTATCATCATATATATATATATATATATATATATATATATATATATATATATATATATATGTATGTATGTATAAATTAAAAACAAAAAAGTAAAATATGCATTGCATATATACATAGACACATACATATAAGCATACACACACACATATATACACCCATGCATACATATATATGCACACACACATATATATATGTTTCTGGTCTTGTGTGCCTGATGATGGTCACAAGACTAGAAACCCATGTAGCAAAATTATGGAAAATAAAGCATATTTTTTTAAAAATCCACATTACAGCCAAAAACGTTTGCGATTTCTCTCTTCTTATTAATATATATATATATATATATATATATATATATTATATACACTAGCAGCCATACCCAGCTGGTTGATCAGAAAAAGCATTCAATTAGAATGGGGCAAAAGTAGCATTATGTTTAGATCTAACAGTCTAACTTCTTCAATTAGTTTAAAGTACTTTAATTAAAAACATTTTGAATTAATGTAGTCACTGATATAACAGAAGTAGCCTGTATTTATTCAATTGAAGTTAGCCAAAGACATGAAGGGGTAAAATAGGCAGCATGAAGATCCACTTCAGACCACAATTATTTTGAAGGTTTTGAAATTCAATTTGTCAGTGTGCTACCAGGGATGTAAAAGAGAATACATTATGAAGCAATTGTTAAGTTTGATGAAAATTGGTGGAAAGATCAATGAAAAATAAGAAAGAAACCAGTAAAAATAGCCATTTTTCACTATATGGATGCATAAATTGAGGGAGCTTTTAGTTTAAAATTTGTGTTGAAATTTATTTTCATTTTTCCCGTTTTTTTGCCAAACACTGTGGTGTAGAAATAGAAATGAGGTATCGCTGAGCTTGTCATGATGTAAGTAACCTACATACTGAGTTTGAACGAAAATGGAGGTAAAAAGTTGAATTTATCAATTTTTGATCAGCTTTATCGATTATTGATTTTTTAAAACTTAGCGATTTGTACAATGTATGTGCCAAGTTTGGTCAAAATCGGTTGGATGGATCTCAAGTGAAATGGTATCACACACACACACATACATACATATATATATATATATATATATATATATATATAATGTGTGTGTGTGTGTGTGTGAATATAGAAAATAGGAAAAGAACTCGTTAAGTAAATAATCCAAAGTTCTTTAGTATTTTTTGTTATTATTTTAAAAAACAGTGCTCGATACAAAAGTAGAGCCTAAATATAATTATTTATTTAAAAATATGATTCCATCGCTACATAAGAGTTCTCATGTTTCAAAACAAGAGCCAAAAACTTCAATATAATTATTTGAATTAAATAGAATTAAAGTACCAAGCTCTGTTCCATCTTCAAGCGAAATTTTTTTTTGATTCTTGCATTTTTATAAGCATATTCATTATTAAAATTAAAATTACTATGGTAACAGCTAGAGCAATTATTTAAAAAAAGGGGCATAAGGGTTAATAATTTCTATCAATATCTCAGTTACATTCAAAGAGGTCAAGTCAGGGTAAGGTTGGGGGTGTCTAAATTCAAAGCAGAAGATGCCATCGTCTCGTCTGGTTGGAGATTTATTTATTTTTTATTTTATTTTATTTTTTTTTTCTCTGAAAGGGTTTTGTGTATATAAATAACTGTCATAATTCGCTAACATTTATTTTTTTTGATATCTTCATAAAGGGTTTGTTTTTTTTTATATTGGGTAGGGCTTTTAAACTTTTTATTTAGACTATGGAGTTTAAAATTTGTATTTATTATTTTATTTTTTGTTTGTTATTTATGCTAATTATTCAATGCAAAAATTTGCTGATGTCAGCAAAAAACCGTCTATTGTTTAATAAATGATTATTATTTAGAAACTTGATATATGTGTAGTTTTTCATGTAGGCATAAAGAGCATGGGTCATTCCAAGTTTTACAAGTTCTAGTTTTGTTTATAATTTTCCGTTTCACTTTTGGTGTTTTATTCCAAAAAAATTTTGCTTGAAGATGGAACAGAGCTTGGTACTTTAATTCAATTTAATTCAAATAATTATATTGAAGTTTTTGGCTCTTGTTTTGAAACATGAGAACTCTTATGTAGTGATGGAATCATATTTTTAAATAAATAATTATATATATATATATATATATATATATATATATATATATATATATATATATATATATAATATCAAGAGGATATAATCCAGGTAGAGCTCTGTCATAGACAGAGCAAGAATATAATATAAAAGGCTCAAAGACTAATATTTCATGGTTATAATTTATTTCACTGGAATCTTAATAATGACCCAATTCATCAGACCTACAAATTCAAAATAAAAACAGAAAATATATCTCTGGGTTTAAAAAACAAAATTTCAGTGACAGTGTGTGTGTGTGTGTGTGTATATATATATATATATATATATATATATATATATATATATAAAATATAATATAAGGTGGCCCGATGATTGTGTCTAGCATGAAACTGTTTGTCGCCTCTGAGTGTTGACTTCAATACTTCAATGTCCACTTTTATATTTTCATACACTTTATATTGATTACTTTATCCCATAATATAGCACGCTTTAAAAACTATATTTCTTCATATATAGTAGTTATTCAAAGAATAAATCAATAAAGTTAATCTAATTAATGGCAAATTCACTTCACTAACAGATGAAATAAGGCATTAACTCACTGACCACTCGTTGACCAATGTGATCCTTGTTTTTATTAATTGTAAAGTGGATTAGATGTTTGGTCCATATTGCAAGTACTTTCAGTAAAATATTTACCATCCTCAGGCATAGGTGTTATTTTTTTCTCAATTTCAGGTAATTTCGGGTAAAATTCCAAGATGAAAATGAATGCGATACTTGTCAAAAGATGTTTTATTAAAAAGTGTGCTTTTATTAACAGTTAAGGATTTTTCTTTTTTCAGCATGCAGTAATGCAACACTAGATTTTTGAATATTGTAGTAATGTTATAATTTACAATTTCTATAATTGTAAGTGTTTTTTCCATTAATGTGACATGAACTATTGGTCCAATAATTGGAGCAATGTCCCAGATCTACATTAAAAAATTTTTTGAAATCTTCTGGTACATTGCTCTAATTATTATTTTATATTTTTAAGTTAATTTAAATCTGGTTTTATGGCAACATTTAATTACAATTTTAGTTATTTGGTTCAATAGCTGGTATTTTTATATTTAATTATTTTCCTTTTTTCTTCCAGGCACAAATTACATCTATTTCTGCAGGTGCTAGGGGTTTGGTATTTACCTATAAGCTTCCATTCTATCTGTGGGGTGAAAATTTTATCCTTTAATTCACAGAAATTTTTGCAAAGAGCTGTTTGATGTTTTAGTTAAGGGCTAGAGAAAGAATGCTTGTGACGGTAGAATCTCTGCTTCCAAATACCAGCAGAAATTCCAATATATAGTTTTTTATTGTTTGTATTTTCTTTGGGGAAAATGGTTGCTTGGTATATAACATTTTTAGATTGGCATATACCTCCAACTGGACAGTTGTTTTTGTTTCTACAGATACAAGATGGTTTTCTATTTATTATTATGTGAATTAATTATAGATGTTATTTTCACAGTAGTTGCTAATTTTTAATGTTTTTCTATTAAAAATTTTACTTAGGTTATTTTGTTTAAAATGTTTGTCAATCAATTTCAGAAAGTATTGACAATATTTATATTAATTGGCAGAAAGGAGGGTTAAAGCATATAACTTTATGTTTGGGTCCATTTATTTTAGTATCTTTTAATGATTCCATTTGTTTAAAGACATTTTTTCAAGGACATCATAAGATTTTTTATTTTCATTAAAAGTTTTTTATTATAAGATAATCTGTTGATTCTAGTATTTACTGTGGTGAGATTGGTTGGTTATTTTGTTTTACGACATATCAACCTCAGTGGGTCATTTAATGCCGACACTGTTTTGGAATGGATTTTAGCATAGTTTGGTAGAATATATATATATATATATATATATATATATATATATATATGTGTGTGTGTGTAGTACTATTCAGCCACTCATGTTTTTGAATACATTCCAATTGCTTTTATAAAATCTAGTATCCTAGATGGTGTCATTTCCATAAAGAGTTTCTTCAAACTACTTGTTTCCACACTCGATTCAAGTTTATACACTCAAGTAGTATATGTTTAACTGTGAATCTTTTTTGGCATGCAGTAAATATTGGGGATTCTGTGCCCTCCAGTAAATGATGGTGGGTGATGTAGGTGTGGCCTATGTGAAGGTGGGTCAATACAACTTCTATTCTTGTATTTTGTGTTCCATTCTCCAATGGTTGGTTTTATGTTTTGTAGTTTGTTATTAGTGTATTTATCCCGATGATTTTATCTCTTCTTAAAAATAATTCTATTCACTACCACTTTATAATCAGTATACAGTATTTTTGTTTTTGCTATTGTATCTTTCATAGTTTTCTTTGTATTGTATCTTTCATAGTTTTCTTTGCTTCCAAGTCTGCCCGGTCATTTCCCAGTATACCAAGGTGGCTTGG